GGGGGCATGCGGACCTTACCGCTGGGGCCTTCGGTGGAGCTCCCAATGGGGCCACGATCCTCGTGAGGGGTGTGCCGAAATAGGCGGGGGGGCGCATGCGCATGCGGACCCTGCCGCTGGGGCCTTCGGTGGACCCCCCCTACGGGGCCACGAAAAGGGATGTGCCGAAATCGTGGACATGCGGAGAGCAGAGGCGGATATGGGAGATGGAGGAGGGGGAGGAGGAGGAGGAGGAGTGAGGAGTAGACGCGGGGCGCTGTCTCTTCAAAACAAGGGCCCAACGCCACTGCATGGTTGGGAAATATACGTTCGCACCTTGCGCTTGAAGCAGGGGAGGCGTGTGCGGGGCCCAGTCTCCGTCCATGAAGCAACTTATCATCCATCAGCTGATGACACGGAGGTGGACCATGGACAGCTACAGTAGGCAGATACTGCAACTGTGACAAGTCATTGCCCTGGATGCGGATGTGCGGTCTTCCCTCGCGTTACCGCGAATCGGCACACAATACATACCTTCTCCCAAAAATAACGCAAACCGGGGGAAGGAGAACATGCACACTGTGACCCCCAGTGCCGGACGTTCTGGTGCGCAGGCAGAATGGATATGAATTCGATGCTTTACGTCATGGTATTGACCATGTTATGCAGCACGTTCCAGGGCCATGCGTCGGTACCCTTCGTTTGCACTGCACTGTGTGGGGAACAGCCTCTTACTCCGCCTCCCGTTTCTCACCCCTCCCAGCTACGAAGGAGTGGTCGCTGAAAGGTGGCGCTCAGGAGAGGGCTCCAGCCGCTAGGATGATAGCTGCACGCACGACTTGATCGTACCGAGTATCAAACTTGCGAACGTCCTGAAACCGATCCGGGAGCTCCAAGCGGTTACCTTCGTGGTGGTGTTTTATCAGGCAAGCAAGAAGTGCACGGCAAAGGCCTGTCGCATGGGCAAGCAGTACGCTGACACGCGCAAGGCTGTAGCGGACCGCAGAGGTACGAAGCCACTGGGCGAGCCCCATGTGCATGTCTTGGCCAACCTCACCGCCCGACCAGCAGATGATCATTCACCCCTGGATGGGCGGACCACGATCACAAACCAGATACTGCAGTGGCGGATCGGGAAGCCATAGTCCACGTGGTGCAAAGGTCCAAGGTTCGCAAAGACTTTCCACGGCACCGTGAAGAAGTTTGTCTTCGCCACGGCCCCCGAGGCCAAGCAGCTCACCGATCAAAGCTATCGGCCAGGGACGGCGTGCAGAATCACGGCTAGAACCAGAGCGCGGGAAGCGAACGTGAACTCCAGCCCTCCCTGGACAGTCCTCGCGAACTCTCCCCAGCAAGCCCGGCAAAGACAATACGGACTGCCAAGGTACCGTAACGTCCAGGCTGTTCCTGCCTCTCCTGCTTTTCGGGCGTACGATTACCCGCGGGCTCCCTCGAGGGCGCGAAGTTATTCGCGCTTCGCGCTTGGCGGTTCGGCTCCGATTCCTCATCCTCCTCTTCTCCCCTGGGAGGCGGCGCGAGAGCGCGAAGTTTTTCGCACTTCGCGCTTCGCGCAGCGCGAAGCGCGAAGTTGGGAGCCCTTGTGCAAGCAGTTTACAGCTCCGAGTCCGCGCCGAATCGACACCATCGTCGGCCAACCAATTTCTCGTTACGAGCTCGGACGGGCGACGATGGGTTGACAGGCAAGCGGACGGCTACAATATGAGTGCAGCCGCGTGATCGGCGACAAAGATTGCAACAGAGCCTCGATAGGGGGCCACATGCAAACCCTACCCCTACCCCCCACGAGTTCTGAGAGGTAGGATGGGGTTCACTTCGCTCGGGAGCTCCCGAACGAAGTGAACCCCACCCTCCCCCTCAGAAATCGTGGGGGGTAGGGGTAGGGTTCGCATGTGGCCCTCGACTCGAACAATATACGCAACAATCTGAAGGAGGACATCGCGGGGTCAGCTCGGGCGCGAGCCAATGACGAAGTCTCGACTGAGCAGCGAGGCCGGTATAGAGCCTCCAGGCTGCCAATATCAAGCGCAGGACACGACGGTGCGAGATGAAGTGATCATCTCGCTGCTAGTGAGTGAGCGATGATGCCGCCAAATGTCCAGTATCCACTTCCTCGCGACCGCCTACCGCATCTTGCCACCGCCGCAACGGCGTCCGACGATGGCCCCCTATTCAGTCAAACGGGGGTCGCCGCAATCGGCTGCCCTCTTACACACCGTTCAGAAAAAGTATGTGAAATCATGAAGTAGGAAGGCGGTTAAAGTAGATTGGAGTTCAGCCCGCCCAGGTCGCAGGCGGTCGAAGCAGGCAACGATCGACTCTCGAGGTGAGATGGCGCTGAGACTGGATTCAGATCCAGAGATCCAAAGGCCCTTACGTTCAAGGACGGCGGGCAGACTCCGGGGGCCGCGGACTCGGGCACCACCGCAGGCTCCATGGTGGGCGTCGGGGGCGGGGTCACCTGCAAGCTTTGTCATCACCATCGCCTGCTTTGTTCCCATCCATCCTGTGATGTTGTGTCCTCGTTTTGAAGAGACATCGCCCCGCGTCTCCTTCCTCCCGCAGCCCCCTCCCTCCTCTTATCACCATCATCACCATCATCATCATCATCATCATCATCATCATCATCATCATCATCATCATCATCATCATCGTCATCATCATCATCATCATCATCACCACCATCATTATCATCATCATCATCATCATCATCATCATCATCATCATCATCATCATCATCATCAGCAGCATCAGCATCAGCATCAGCATCAGCATCATCATCATCAGCATCATCATCATCATCATCATCATCATCATCATCATCAACATCGTCATCATCAGCATCATCATCATCATCATCATCATCACCACCACCAGCATCATCATCATCATCATCATCATCATCATCATCGTCATCATCATCATCAGCAGCAGCATCACAGATATCCTAATCATCATTATCATCGTCATCGTTATCACCAGTGTCGTCATAATCGTCGTTATCGCCGCCAGCATCATTACCGTCCGCATCATCATCAGCATCAGCATCAGCATCAGCATCATCATCATCATCATCATCATCATCATCATCATCATCATCATCATCATCATCGTCGCCGGTGCCCCCCTCACGATGATCGTTGCCACATCGAAGGCCCCAGTGGCGCAGCCCGCATACGTCACGCACACCAATTTCGGCACACCCCTCACACGTTTCGTGGCCCCATAGGGAGCTCCGCCGAAGGTCCCAGTGGCGCAGCCCGCATGCGTCACGCACACCCATTTCGGCACACCCCTCACACGTTTCGTGGCCCCATAGAGGGCTCCACCTAAGGTACCAGTGGCGCAGCCCGCATACGTCACGCACACCCATTGAGGCACACCCCTCACACGTTTCGTTGCCCCATAGGGAGCTCCACCGAAGATCCCAGTGGCGCAGCCCGCATGCGTCACGCACACCCATTAAGGCACCGAAGGTCCCTGTGGCGCAGCCAGCATGCGTCACGTACACCAATTTCGGCACACCCCTCACACGTTTCGTGGCCCCATTGGGAGCTCCGCCGAAGGCCCCAGTGGCGTAGCCCGCATGCGTCACGCACACCCATTTAGGCACACCCTTCACACGCTTAGGGGCCCCATACAGGGCTCCACAGAAGGTCCCAGTGGCGCAGCCCGCATGCGTCACGTACACCCATTTCGGCACACCCCTCATGCTTCGTGGCCCCATAGGGAGCTCCACCGAAGGTCCCAATGGGTGTGCCCGCATGCGTCCCGCACACCCATTTAGGCACACCCTTCACACGTTTCGTGGCCCCATAGGGAGCTCCACCAAAGGTCCCAGAGGCGCAGCCAGCATGCGTCACGCACACCCATTTCGGCACACCACTCACACGTTTCGTGGCCCCACACCCCTCACATGTTTCGTGGCCCCGTAGGAAGCTCCACAGAAGGTCCCAGTGGCGCAGCCCGCATGCGTCACGCACACCCATTTCGGCACACCCCTCACACGTTTCGTGACCCCAGAGGGAGCTTCACCGGAGGCCCCACCGCCCGCACGCGTCCGCCACACCCATGTCGGCGCACTCCCCACACGTTTCGTGGCCCCACACGCATTGTGCCCTCATACGGAGCTCCACCCAATGCCCCAGCCACCGCCCGCATGCGTCCGCCTCACCCATTTTGGCACACTTCTCACACGTTTCGCGGCCCCACAGGGAGCTCCATTGCATACGGTATTTGCGATTGCGGCTCGCACAGCCGCATATGGCTGGGTCCTTTGCCAGGCAGGCGAATTTTCCACTCTTAGCAGCACGTTAGCCGCACGTTAGCCGCCTGCCGCTTCGCTCGCCGCCTCGGGCGCCCGGTTGGTCGCACCCGCGCCGTCCGATCGCATGCTGCTTCTCCTGCCTTCACGCCGCAGTCGGCAAGAGCCGAGGCATGCCAGCGTGCACACGCTGCCCCCAACCCTCCCCCCCCTCTCCTCCCCATTTTCCTCCTCTTCCTCCTCCTCCTCCTCCTCCTCCTCCTCCTCCTCCTCCTCCTCCTCCTCCTCCTCCTCCCCTCCTCCTCCTCCTCTCCTCCCCCCTCCCCCTCCTCCTCCTCCTCCTCCTCCTCTCCTCCTCCTCCTCTCCTCCTCTCCTCCTCCTCCTCCTCCTCCCCTCCTCCTCCCTCCTCCTCCCTCCTCCTCCTCCTCCCTCCTCCTCCTCCTCCTCCTCCTCCTCCTCTCCTCCTCCCTCCTCCTCCTCCTCCTCCTCCTCCTCCTCCTCCTCCTCCTCCTCCTCCTCCTCCTCCTCCTCCTCCTCCTCCTCCTCCTCCTCCTCCTCCTCCTCCTCCTCCTCCTCCTCCTCCTCCTCCTCCTCCTCCTCCCTCCTCCTCCTCCTCCTCCTCTTCCTCCTCCCTCCTCCTCCAACTCCTCCTCCTCCTCCTCCTGCGTTTCCTCCTAGCCCTCCTCATCCACCACTTCCTCCTCTTCCTCCCCCTTTTCCGCCATCTCCTCCTCCTCCTCCCCCTGCCCGCACCAACTGATCACATGCTACTCGTCATGCCGTCGCGCCAGAAGCGGCAAGAGGCGTTGCGTGCCCGCCCGCATTGAAGCAAGGGCAGCGACAGCCAAGACGCCCAGAGGTCGCCAAACGCAAATGTTGATGACAATCTTGTGTTGTCCGAAAACGCGCGCGCTGGTCAGAATACCACGTTGAACTACAGCGCGCGACATACATATATAGATGATGTATATGAACACTCACGTATATAAGAATGCATGTAAAGATGAACATGCATACATATTTGCTTGTACGTATGGACATAAATATGTACACTATGTACACACAAACCTGCGAATTACATGTGCACGTGTGCAACCATGCCGATGTGCATGATTCACAGGAAATGTCATATGGAAACACACCCGTGTGTGCTGCAGATCCCCCCACGCCACACCACGACGTCCCCGTTCTTCCAAAGGCCTAAATGACGGCCCAACGGGAGAGAGAGAGATATATATATATATATATATATATATATATATATATAGATATAGAGAGAGAGAGAGAGACAAAAACACACACACAAAAAACAAAAAACAAAAAACGATGGACACAACCATATGCAGGCGTGAGTACCGCAATTGTGATTCCCTTTTTCCGGTGGCGATCCCCATGGGGCAACGAACCGTGCTAGCGGTGTGCCGAAATGAATGGCGTGGTACACAACGCGAACGAAAACGATTGATCTGAGTACGTAGGGAGACTGAGCGCGGGCGAATCTGAGCGCGAGTGCGTCTGACTGTGAATGAATCTGCGTGCGAGCAAGTCTACGTGCACGAATGCGAGTATGCCAATGCATGGTGCACTCGTATATGAATGCGAATAGTTTGTGAATGACTGCCTCTGAGTACTCGTGACGCTGGGCGTGGCCGCCGCAAGGAGTTCCCCGGGACTCCCCGACGGCATCGCCCGCGCGCCGCGACGCCACCGCGAGGATCGCGCCCGCTTCCTCCCCTTCTTATACTCCCTCTTTGCCCGCGCACTCAAAAGTCCAAAGCTGCGGGCGCAGCGCAGCGCGGAGTCTCAGCGACGCACGCAGGTCGCCCCGGAGGGGTCCCAGCGACGCGCGCGGATCGCCCGCTGCGCGCAGCAAAGAAGGCTAGCTGGCTGGCTGATAGCGGGCAAGGCTCTTGCCGCTGGGCAGAGCGACGACGGGCGAGGGAGGCGCGGAACTCCGACGGCCTCCGACGGAGGCGTACTGGGTGGGGGAGACGCGCGGGGACTGCGCCACGGGGACCTTCGGTGGAGCTCCCTATGGGGCCACGAAACGGGCGAAGGGTGTGCCGAAATGGGTGCGCGGGACGTATGCGGGCACACCCACTCGGACCTTCGGTGGACCTCCGCATGGGGCCACGAAACGTGTGAGGGGTGTGCCGAAATGGGTGTGCAGGACGCATGCGGGCACACCCACTGGGACCTTCGGTGGAGCTCCCTATGGGGCCACGAAACGTGCGAGGGGTGTGCCGACATGGGTGTGCGGGACGCATGCGGGCACACCCACTGGGACCTTCGGCGGAGCTCCCTATGGGGCCACGAAACGTGTGAAGGCTGCGCCGAAATGTGTGTGCGGGACGCATGCGGGCACACCCACTGGGACCTTCGGTGGAGATCCCTATGGGGCCACGAAACGTGTGAGGGGTGTGCCGAAATGGGTGTGCGGGACGCATGCGGGCACACCCACTGGGACCTTCGGTGGAGCTCCCTATGGGGCCACGAAACGTGTGAGGGGTGTGCCGAAATGGGGCGGGACGCATGCGGGCACACCCACTGGGACTCGGGGCCACGAAACGTGGAGCCGAAATGGGTGTGCGGGACGCATGCGGGCACACCCACTGGGACCTTCGGTGGAGCTCCCTATGGGGCCACGAAACGTGTGAGGGGTGTGCCGAAACGGGTGTGCGGGACGCACGCGGGCACACCCACTGGGACCATCGGTGGAGCTCCCTATGGGGCCACGAAACGTGCGAAGGGTGTGCCGAAATGGGTGTGCGGGACGCATGCGGGCACACCCACTGGGACCTTCGGTGGGGCTCCCTATGGGGCCACGAAATATGCGAAGGGTGTGCCGAAATTGGTGTGCGGGACGCATGCGGGCACACCCACTGGGACCTTCGGTGGAGCTCCCTATGGGGCCACGAAACGTGCGAGGGGTGTGCCGAAATGGGTGTGCGGGACGCATGCGGGCACACCCACTGGGACCTTCGGCGGAGCTCCCTATGGGGCAACGAAACGCGCGAGGGGTGTGCCGAAATGGGCGTGCGGAGGAGGAGGGGGAGGAGGAGAGGAGAGGAGAGGAGACGCGGGCCACCGCCTCTTCAAAACGAGGACCAGACCACACAGGTTTGTTTGGGAGGGGAAAACGACGTCGCCATACCATGCTGTAGTGATGATGGCGATGGGAGTAGACACTAGCCGCCGGTACTCCCCAGCACCGCGAATAGCACGCAGCAGGCGGAGCCAGCCACGTATGCTGATAGGGCGGCGCCGCCAACCAGGACGACGGCGGCCGAACGATAAATTAGGCACCATCGGGGCATTCCCTCAAGGTCCGGGGGAAGCGACGCCCAGCCGTCGCCACCCTGTCGCGATACCGCGACACCAGAGCGAAATGAGCGCGGTCGCGACTCCACGACAGAAAGGCGTAAAGACGGCGCGGACACGCGCCCACTCTGGAGCAGTCGCGGGTCCGCGAAAGCTCTGCGCGGGGCCAGCAGCAGGGCCCCCTTGCAGCCGCATGGTCTACCAGGCATCTAGAGCCCACTAAAGCGCGTGAGCAGCCATAGCGGCGATCTGTCGGCGATCGGAAGCTCATTACATCGATACGACGCGCACAATTTTACGTCGCGCGTGTAGCTCGAGCAGCTGGCCATGCCTTGTAGAAGCAAATCGCGACCATCCACCGCCATGCCTCGGACGCCGCATCACTTCCCTTGTCTGGTGATGCCTAAATCTAGAAATATTCGTTTCCAGCTGGTTTGTCCCAACACTGTCTGCTCCGCAACTGCTTGGAGATCGCCGCCGGGATGAAAGTTATACACTGTTTCGGCGTCGATCGCAAGGTATTCGACGACAGGGCCGGCAATATTCACAACGTAGCTGGACCTGACTTGAAGACGATGAGATACGCTGAGGCTGACGACGCACGGCACGACCTCCTCCTTCCGACTCGCGATTCCCAGAAGTAGCAGCCTGCATTCTCGAAGGCCGTAGCCTCTGGTCCCGATACCACAGTCGCTGCGCAGGCAAGCGACGCCATCAGGGGCCATGGCTCGACCGACGATCTTCTCGGGTTAATGCAACACGTTGCGGGACGTGGTAGTTAAGCGCATCGCCCGCATATTTGCCGACTCCTAAACGCGCTGCAAACACACAATACACATGCACACCATGAGCCACTCGTCGAAGGCCCCACGCAGGCTAGGACACGTGTCCCTGACAAGTTCGATATTCCATGCGTCTGGGGGGCTTCTGCAGCATCGGGGCGTCAACGCGGCGAAGCTGACTGACGCATTCACCCCCGCGTTCCGCCCTGACGCTTCAAACTGCAAATTTCGCGCACGCATGCGCATCCCCACCTGCACTTACCGAATGCCCGCTCGACCTGGTTGTCGCACGCGTCGATACGAAATTCCCACCACGCAGATGCCGTCCACGTGCTTGGCTGTTAGCAGATTCTCGGTTGTCTCGAACTCCTGTTCGTGGGACGTGGATTCGAAGCCGATGTGCTCCGTGGTCTATATAACTCTGAGGGGGAAAGCTCGATGGGCACCGTTGGCACTGGCGCCGGGCGCATGGCATTCTTACACAGGTGTCGCGTTCGATCGCATTTCTCGAAAAAAGATACTGCACGGAGGACAGCAGCACTTCCAGCAGGTAGGGCGAAGCACGCAACACGCTCCTGCTCACCTATGGCCATGGCCAGTTCTCGGCATGTGAGCCACGGGAGAAGGCCTTATCTACGTCGAGGCTGGCCAAGATCCAACAATGGTCGATCGCCAGCAAGCTTTCAGAAGAGCGTCGTGCCATTCCAGAAGTTGTTTCGATCGAGGAAGCCTCTTGGCCCATGAGACCACGCAAAGCAAAGCCGAGTCGCATAAGTTCCTCGTAACTTCCATAATATATTTCTATGATCCTAGATGTGTACACGCACCTCGAGGCCATGACGTTCTGGGCCTTGAGCAGACCCATGGCGGAGCATCGGCTGTCCTACCATACCTTGGGTTCTGCCAAGAGTGCTGACGACGCGTATTTCGGGTAGTTGATGATGTTATGCTGCAGATCGCCCTCCTTGACTACCACCACCCTTGCAATCTCGGCTGAAGCGCAGACGTGGATAGTAGCCAACTCATCGGGAAGAATGGCTTCCAGCTGAGGTTCGTCCAATATCCTCTCTGCCAAATCACTGGTCATGAAACAAATTTCGGCGATCAAGTGCACTCGCCAGAGTCAGGGTCACAGCGGTCGCCAAAATCGTTGCCCGAAACGACGACGTTATAAGTGCTCCAGAACGTTGGCCGGAGAACAGGACGCCATTTTGTCCATGCTGACGTAAGTCCATGAGATCCTCTTTGATCATGGGGTTCTCACGCTCGCACGATACGACTACAGCGCTCGCAAGGAGCATAGGGACGGGGATCGGCACGTTCATTAAGGGCACATGGTTCCACGTAACGATGTTCGGTATCCAGGACTTCCTGCTTTCATAATACAAGATTATGGTATATCTTCATGTCGTCATCACCCTCTTCGACTGTGGATAAGCAGCCGCCTTCATTTTCGTGTCCCGTTGGGGTCTCAGCGAGGTTCGCGTTTCAACGGTCTCCGCCATCTGGGGAAACCATCAGCAAGGTCTGAAAACCGAGCAGGGCCCTCGTCGGACGAGCGGACGCGTCTGGTTGCAATCAGGCACTGAGTGGGGCGAGCATGGCCACTGCCAGTGATGCACGGAATGTCAAGAGTGGCGTTGGCAAAATCGTATAAGTGAAAGCTGGGCTGGACGCCATTGCCTCAGTGGATCATCGAGCTGCAGTCCCCTCCCTGATAGGTCGGCAGGGAGTGGACATTCGTAGCTAGACTTAAGAAGTTGACGGTATCGCGAGGGCAGTCCCGACGACGCAGTGGAACACCACACGCACCTTCGGGGCGCGTCTCCCCCCCAAACAATATTGGCATACTTTCTTTTGAT